TTTAAAATTATAGCGCAATACAAGTAGTTTGTACAAGATTAAGCTTTTAACCGCAGCTGAACAAACCGAACTGAAATGGTCATCGAAATTATATTTTCAAATAATTTTCAACAACTTCATGGTTGCTAACTAGAAGGAGAAGTATACCAATTTTTTCAAAACCTCAAAAGACAACTGCTAATTTAAAAGGTGTCCTGGAAAAAGAAACGAGATGTTAATGTGCAACCAAAAAATAATTGGTTCAAAACTCAAAATAATTCTTAATTAGTTCTTATATTAAACCTATCAATCATTCAGTTATTCGTTTTTAATTACGAAAAATCCGTTAAACCTTACAAAACAAAAACAAAATGAAAATATCAAAATTCTCAACAATTTTAATTAGTACACTGAACTTTCGATAGAACTTTTAAACGTTGTTTTTGCTAGTTAGAATCATAATAAAATTAATTCAAAGGAATTTTCAAGTTTAATATTACCTGGTGTATGAAGGGTACTTTGTTAGAGAAATTTCAGCTTTCAGTAAACTTGAAGCGCTCGGATGCGTGCTTTGTAATGAACAACTAATTAATTAATCCAGTAAAGACCCTTATTTATTAAAATATTTACCTTGTTTCATAGAAATTCCACACCAAGGGATCGGGGAAAACTTTATAATTGAAAAATTTCACTCGAATGGATCATTTTGAAACAATATCTCAATGAAATGTTTGATTAACAATCCTTTCAGTTTTATTAAAAGCTTCAATAATTGAATCTCTATAGAGAAAGTTAAAGTAGGTCTTACTTTAAATACCAATTTTAAATATTGTGGATTGGTTTATAAGGCGTGAATCGTGAATTATAATCTCAAAGACTCAGTGTTGTTGTAAATACAAAAAAAAAATTAATTAGAGGTTGAGATGGGAGATTAATATGTTAAACCACCTATTTATTTTTTCGTGCAACAAACATGGTGATGTAAGTAAATAAATTTTTTGAAGCAAAATACCCGACAAACAGTTTATGAAAACATGAATCAGCCTCAACAATATAGAACGTACTTACAACATAGTGAAGTAGTTGTTCTTATTGTAAACATTTAAATCTAGCGGTTTGTTGGAATATCGTTAGTAGTAAACATTTATAAATATTAAAAATGCACGTCATTTATTGTATTACGCTCTTTAGGAAATTACCTGGATCTCAAATGTAACTGCAATAAAATTATTTGCAAATAAATTTAAAATTCTGTACTTGAATTTATGCAAACCGTATTGAAAGAAACACGGTTTCGGGGGCGGTTATTCTCTTTATTCTAAGGTTGAATTCTAACTCTTGCATAGTTATTATCACCATCATCATTACCATAGTGGTTCGTATTCATCAAGATGATTCACACATTTTAATTTCCAGCGCTACTAATTATCTACTTTGGAAGTAATCAAATTAAATTTGGACAGATAAAAAGCCACTTCAATCTGATTTCCAGTGAATTGAAATGAAGTTTTTATGCGATCAGGAAAGTCCATTGTGAGCATTGATGATGGGCTATTGTTAGCGACGAGTGACGTGTTCGGTTTCCTCACAATGATGTCTACTCGATCTATCACTTACCAGCCTTAAATACTTAATGACCTATTTCTATTTTATTTAGTCGAAAATCTGTCAGCTTGCGAATTATTAAAGGGTCCTAGTAATGGGGACAAAGTGCTTAAATATTTAGAAGAAAGGGGTCATTTAAAAAATCGTTTTAATTTTTAAATTTCTGTGGCTGGTTATTTTGCCTACAAACTGTGATTTTAAGCTATTATATTACGATCGATCACCTCAAAACGCAATATGCCTATTTTTTTTATTTTTCTGATACAGTTAATTTTTAAGCGTAAGTATTTTTCACTTTCAAACAGTAGTTCAGCATAAAGTCACCTAAATATTAACCGTGAAATGATTTCAGAATAAACCCCAATAATATATTTTCCCATCTGATACATTATTAAATATTTGAGAGCCGAATTCAATGTCGAGATAAACTGTCTAGCAAATCCTTTTCTCATACTTGGGTCGACTCTTTCACGTCTTCTAAACAACTCAGGCGAATGTGATACGGTAGCTAAGTAGATTTAAATTCGAGTTTTGTTCAATGGGCCGTGTCACCGACGTCTTTTCGAAAACATTTTGAATAATATGAGCGTTTATATTCAGTTATGGTTTTTATCTAACACCAAAGAGCTTTAAAATTTGCTGTTCCAAATCTGAAATGCCTTCATAGGCAATTACGGGGAAAGAATTTACTTGGGACAACTATTTGTTAAATATTAATAAATACGTGAAAGATTAGCAGAAGAAGTGAAGGGAATACTCCGCTAGAAAATATAAAACTAGGAAATTATTCCTTGGTCGACCGGAAAAATTAGCTGAATGAATGAAAAAATTTTGCCCTGATCTACGTATCTCCATCTCCACTCTAAGGAGGTTTCTCACTGAGTATAAACGTTTCGTTCAAAACTAACACGGGAAAAGAATCAGTTTTATATATAAAACAATAAGCATTTCTGAATTTGATCTTGTTAAAATATACGTTTAAGAAATGTATCTTCAGCTCTTGAAAGACAATACTACATTTCATCGTCCATTTCCATTTATAGGGAAATGTTAATGATGAATTGAGAACCGTTTGTTTTTTAGATAAAACTGATTGAATCGGTTAGAAGTCTTTACTGAAGTACACTCGGCCATTCCTCAGACTTTTGAAAATGAATTTTTAAGTTAAGAAGACATTTTATAGACAGACAAGTCCGAAACACTTTATGTATTCAGCTAAAATCACCTTTAATTTTGATTTTTGCCTATTAATTTGATTTGTTTCTATATTTGGACGAAAATTGGTTTTTAGGGCTTGGTAACATGAGAAACTTAAATTTAATCTTAGTATTTCTTTTACATGTGGCGGGTGTTTCTCCCTTTCTCACCATCAATCAAACAATCTCGAAAACAGACCTTAAATTTGATTGAATGAAAACTTAAATGAAATTGATTTTGACCTTAAATTGATAGATGATTTGATTTTCTTGCTAAAAATGTTATCCTAGTATCCACAGAAAAGTTATGACTCTTTATAAAAATATAAAGACCTGTATGTGGCACCTAAAGCGTGGCTCTACATGTAAGAGCAAAACTAAAATAAAATATAAGTTTCCCATGTTATAAAACCACCAAACACCTAGTTTTGTCTAAATACCGATATTATTTCAAAAATTACTTAGTAAAACAAATCATTTAGTAGTTAGTTAGATTGATATATTAGAAATACTCGAGGAATCGCTGTGAAAAATATCGAACTTATTAAAAAACACCCGGTATGATACGAAACGTTTGTCTGTTAAATTGAACAGAAACTCAAAATTGTTTTTTTTATCAACGAAAGGAATCGTGTTCACTTTATTTAATTTTCCAACGATTTGACCGTATCCATGCTGCTTGTTAAACTAAACTGTAGTTAACTCTTTTAAAATATGCATTAGTTCTCTCTCTACTCTGTTGCGCGTAACTTCGCTAACTGTCAAGATATTTGAAAAGTCCTAAAACCCCCATACAGCCCAGAGAAGAAGCTGTAAAAACTATTCCAGCCTCAAATTGGATAGCGGGAACAGTTAGAGAGTAAAACGTGTGTGACCTCAGAGAGTGTGCAACCTTCTGAAAAAAGCTATTTGAGAAATTAATATTAGTTGGAAAAGTTGACATTTATAAAGATTTTAATATCCAATAGAGGATTTCAACGAAAATATTCTCAGTCAAAAAATGTGCAGTGCATTTAAGACCGAGTACCCGAATGTATAGAAGAATATTTATAATTTTGGCCTACAGAGCCTATTTTTTTAATTGCGATTTTGCTATTAGCATCTTTCTTTGTGTGTACATGATAAATACAATAATATTTAGTTGTAACTAAATGTCTCAAAAGAGGATCATCTCTTAATTCAATCGAATAATTTTGTTTGCTAGAATGGACCATTAGCTCTAAAGTGCTTTTCTTTCATCACTCAGTCATGCTCTTAACGCGGAGACAATATTAAAGTTATCATTCAAATATTGACATATTTAATACTGTTGATACAGATCGGTATTTAACAGTATTTCTTGCGTTTATGTTTCCGTTGCTGCCTCAGATTTATAAGAAATAAGAAAACGTTGTTATTAAAGAATAGAAGCAGTTGAAAAAAACTCGAAAGCATACGAAAATAATTGCGCTATAATTTTGAAAAATCCGAAGCAAAAAACAATAAAAAATTCACCTCATAAAATCCGCAAATCTGGACATCTGAGCTACTAAAATGCTACCTACCAAAGAAAAACTACAACCCTGGTTGTAGTTTTTCTTTGGTTCGTTTTTTTTCTCCTCGGATCAGTTTTTTGCAAATTTTTTTAAGGGCTTCAATGGCAGATGAGCGCTTAAGTGGACTGGCATGTTTTCACGTTCACAAAACCATGCCGACTGTGAGAAGACAACGGAAGAAAATTAATTTTGATACTTGATTAAAATTTCTACTAGATGACTCCCCTTACTTGAAAGCTGAATCCACCTTTGGTCCCAAATATAGAAATATATTAAGCTATTTATCAGTGAATCCTTTCTTTTCAGCACGTGATCCTACATTGTAACTTTTCAGGAAGTCCAGTAATAATCAGTATAAAATTGTCACTGCTACTTCATGTTTGTCCACGTTAATCTTAGTAGAAAAACAATTAGTAAGCACATCACAGTAATGGAACCAACTTTCTTATTTCCGTAAGGACAAAACGAAGCCGTAACATCGCGGCTCCGTCTTCAAAATGTGTTAACCAACCATTATAAAAATGAGTGGACATGCACGCGATGCACCCATAAACCGTAATTGCAAAAATATAGATCTCATCGTAAAAATACTGTTTAAGATTTAGGAGACAAAAAAACCTTATTAAGTATCAGCAAAATGATTTGCTGATAGCATCTGCACAGGGATAGTTATGAGTAAAACACATCATCTTTAAAAATTTAATTCACGAAAATTAACCATGTCGCATTTGAAATAAATTCAAATTTGGCTGAGATTGCTAGTCACCAAATCCCCACTAATGGCGATATAACAGAAGGCTCCATCATCTGGCATGGGCTGTTCGGCCAGAAATTCATTTGCATAACATCCTGTTGGGTCAGTTATTGGACTATTTTCGGCCGCTAATTTGGCGGCTTCAGCAAGTGGCTTCAAAGTCTGCCAAGACGGATATTCCGCAAATGGTCCTACTGCTCTCAGATCTTGCAAATACCTACAATTGTAATCGTATTCTATTAATATTTGATTTTAATTATTCTGGAATATGCTAATCTGGTTGGGTGCTGTGGGCCTACCCTAATAATGCCATCATATAGTCATTTCTAATTGCTTTCATGCGAGAACAACATTCGGTACCATGCACAGAGCAAAGCATTTGCAACCAAGCGGCCACTCTGGTTCTTTCAGCGCCTCCGGAAATCATTGCGGCATATGGTTTTGCCAAGTACAAATAGAACTGGAATTCTTGATCCAATATCTGAAACAGCGTATTTCTCCACGGTTTCTAATCGGAAGCTTTCATTCCGTACTTTATCAAATTGGTGATCTTTTCTACAAGTATCAGGATCCTCATGAACGAAGCAATCCAACAGCTGAAAATCGTCTGGCAAATTCTGAAGCGTGTCTTGCCACATGTTGTCAGTTTCCCACTGAGCAGCTGGAACGTTTAATGGGTGCACTGACTGAAGGTCTGGAAGGGCGCCATCGGGAGGGTACTCCCGAAAAATATCAACTGCCTCATCCAAAAGCAAGGAGGTAGAGAGATAAACTAAATACCTAATAAATACACAGATTAACTTAAGACTAAATAACCAACTAGCCCCACCAAATATTGAGAACTATATAACTTTGCTTGTAATCAAATTAAGTAATTTTACCTATTCCGCTTTTCTCTTAACATGGAGCTGTGGTATTCGGGCCTAAATAATTTCCTGATCCAAGGAATAATATATCTTCGGTCCCCTTCTTTGGTTAACGTAGGACCGAACATTTTCAGAACTGCACTGTAGTAGTTGAATTCGGTATTTAGAGGATCTGTAGTAAGCCTTAAGAACAAGCAAGAATTGTTGAAAATAGTGGATCAATGGCAAATTTAACTGGAAACGTTTTGTCAATTAAAATGTTTGATTTCAAAGTTAATTTAGAATTTAATATATTCTGTATTTTGAAACTGAAGTTCACTCATTAAATGAGTGAATGCACATCGATACATCCGCTCGGGAATTTGCGTATCCACTTCTTTCTTTTCTCTATCCATCTAGATTCTTTACACAGATCAGAAACACGTTTATCAAAAAGTCGATAGTGCTTCTGAATGTTCAGTAGAAATGTATTTCACATACGATTGGAAATATTAAATATTAAAAAAGTCAGGCTTTCGCTACCATTGCTCGAAACTGGTGAGATTTTACGGGTTTAGGCTTGACGACGTTATAATTGATCATTCAGTCAAGTGTACAGTTGAAATATCTCTGAAGGTGCAAGACACTCATGCTTGCAAAACGTTAGGAAGATATTATTTTTTCTCGTGGCTTCAAACCCAGACAAACCCAAGAGTTTTTTTTATCAAAACTGTTTTGATTACTGTTTAAATATTACTTTTCGTATAGTACAGAGGAATAAGTTTTTCCTATATTCTGGCGACAAATGAAACACTTCAATTTACACGAAATTTAAGCAAATGTAAGAGTCGCAGTTTGCCCTGCAATCAGGAATGTTTTAATTAATCGGTATCGTCGCAAAGATTCTTTCTTTAATAGATTACATTCAATAAATTTTTATGGAAATTTTTCTATTTTTTTGTAAATATGATGAAAAATGTTTTTTCCCATATTTGCTAAAAACGTTATTGTTTAAAATTTTCCTAGAAAATGGGTAAAAAGTTGAGTCACTTTTTTAGAACCGTTAATAAAAAATTTCATGTGAAAAAAATTAACGAAGGGAAAAATATTCCGTTTTTAAGAAATACTTCCGAGCGTTTCTTGTTTAATTTTTCAGTTAATTAACGCAGTGTTTTGCAAGTTTGTAATTTAATTTTTGTCCCAACTGTCTCAAATTTTGATAAATTCGAATCAAATAAATTTTTGGTAAATGTGTGGAAATTTTTTGAAATAATTCTATAGATTTCAATGGCAGAGGACATTCAACAAAAATACCTCGTGTATTTAAAAACCTTTCTTCACTAACCGGGTCTTCTGGATTTTGAAAAATGTTTAAACGCATTTAAAAAATAAAAATTGCTCGATAAAAAATTAATAATGATAAATGACGCAAATTAACGATTTCTTTAAGCTAAAAGCCTAAGTTTTGAATAACAAATTTCAATTGAATCTTAACTAACATTTTCAAAAGTTTGATGGAGATGTTTCAAAAAAATGGGCACATTGGCTTACCTAGGAGGAGCAGACCCTTCTTCAGTATCTGTCCTAAAAATAAAAAATATTTATGACATGTATATGACAATTTTAAAAATGTTTAAAATTAATTACACAACAACGTTGAAAAATAAATAAATAACTTCGTTACAGTTCTTAATACATTAACTGTTGGTTGAACAATGTCTAATATGTTTGCTTGCTAATGTGGATTAAGAAAAAAATCAATTCGAGTTCTCGCGTTTCAGTAGCTTTAGATGTAAAATCAGATATAAGAACTGTTCTCTACAATTAACTTGAATATATTAGACAGGGCAAAAGGGTACAAACAACAGATGCAAGCAAATACCCGAAAAATAGATAATAACAGTAGCTTTACAGGTTTGCTAATTAAAATGTATATTATTATTATTATTATTGACATGTAACTAAAGAACAAAGCCCGAATCTAATACTCTGAACAAAATTTAGCGATTAGAAACATATTTTTAAAAGTAAAGAATTCCCAATTTTTCCCCAATATTTTCACTGATGTGTTTTGGAGTTATTTGTTTTCCTTGGATTTAAAACGTTAATACGTACGGTTGATTTGCGGATGGTGCATTTAAGGGTGCTGCTTCAGGCGCCTCACCTTCTCCTACGGTCTCTTCGTCAGCCATGTTATTAATCACACAAGAAAATTTGGAAGCTTTCTTCAAATTTCAAAAACGAACTTTTTAAATTATAATTAACGTACTGACAATGTCACATTTTATCGTACCTTCGAATTAACCTGGGGTTTATTGCTTTTCTTCTGCGCTTTGCCGATCTAAAGTTAAAATATTTGACATTCATTTTTCAACACTTAATTAAAAGCATAACTATTTTCTTACATGTAGAATTCTTAGATTTAAAATCAAAGCTCAGTTTCATTTAAATGAAATTGAAATGTGCATAATTCTAATCAATCGGAATTGATTTTTTCGGGTAAAAACAGTACAGAAAAAGTGTACGTAATAAATATAACGGCAAAAAAATCTTTGAGGCAACGCACTAAAAACAGTAATGTTTATTTATGCTTTATTTCATAATTTTAATATATTTGGTTCATCATGAAATGGCTCACGAAGTTCAGTTAAAAGATCAATTTTTATGGGATTTAATGTAATAATATTAATGACAGTTTGATATTTTTAGCATAGCGTCCTCATAAGGAATTCTAAAATAAAATAATGTTTAATGCTATAATCTTACATTGTCAGACAATTTTCTTCGAAATCAGATCCACTTAGCACCTGCATAATTATTTCATAGTTTCATTTAAACTACTTATAAAATTTTTGTTAAAATGGAATAAAAAAGAACTCATTTACCTATAGAATAAATGTGCACGTTCATCAATTTTATCCATCAGCTCACAAGAAATTAGGCGCTTTTGTTTTATATTAACGCTTAAAGTTATAATGTATTGAAGAAGAACAAAACCTTAAATATTCAGTTGCGTAAAGAGTTAAACTCTATTGTCAGATTTCTTAATAATTAATTAAGTAGGACAATTGCGTTGTTATTTTATAACAACTTAAAGAGGCTAGGCGGCATTTAATTGGCCTGAAATTATTATTTATTTAATGTAGCACTGCTCCTGTTTTTATGACAGTATATTGAGAAAAACCGGAATTATATTATACAGAGAATAAAAAAAGACCATACATTTTTCTATATAAAAATGAATACTAATCTACTTGTAAGTGCAGCGTTGGACTTGAAAAAATGTCTAAGTGTTAAATTTTTTTGAAATATTTACTGAAAGAATTTAAATTGAATTAATAATTTAATAGACTGCAAGCAAAATATATGTTGTAGGGAATGGCTGGCAATAAAGCACACAAATCAAGGTAGATAAAGCCAAGTCTGTGAAATCTAATCTGCTAAATGATTTAAAACAAAGCGACATCCAAAGAAATTATAAAGACGATAAGAGAAGCTCCCAATCCCAATTAAATATGTAAAAGTTTCGAAAACCCCTTCTTTACGAAAACGGGCTTGAAGTTAAGGGCAGGCAGTTTAAAATAATCTTATGTAAATCTGTTGGAGCTTACGAAAAGTGAGAAAGTCCCGCTTATCGTAGATTAGAAAGAGAAAGAGGGCGCCAAAGTTTTAGACGAGAAATAGAGGCATTTAGCGAATAAATTCGCTTCCCACCTGGTTGTTCTCAGATTATTTAAACGTTTCTTAATACAGGCCATTATTTAAGATCTCGCCGGATGCTAATTAGGGGCTTACCGTGTGTCTGTTTCATCCCCATCTGGAGGGTTAATATTCTAAACTTTCAAGCTAGGAAAACTTATAGTGTTATGTAAAATGTCCCATATTGTAGCACTGTTTGGGATTTCAGTTTGCGTTCAGCGAAGTTTATGATATCGTCCTTAATGTATGTGCGTGAACAGTCGGTGTGTATATTCATAAATTGCTCGACATTCGAGCGAAATTTACAGTTTGTCCCTGAATTAATTTTGAAGTAAAATTACTTAATATAATGTAAATGCCCCCAGCATCCAAACAGTTTATCAAGCCAGTTAAATTGGATTTCTGTATAGTGGAATATACCTTATTTTGTACTGCTCGTAAGATATCCTGATCGAAACTCTCTTCTTATTCGCGCTAAAATAATACGCTCATATATCATGGACATTCAAGAAAAAAATACTTAATGTGTCTCTAAAATAGCATAATTCGCTACTTGTTTATGTTATAAGGTTTTTCCTTTATTTAAACTTTTGCAATGGTGATTCTTGCTAGATATGTTTTTGATAATTCAATCAAATCGTGAAGATCAAAAATTGGCAGAAACCATCAATCAATCAAGAATGTTTATAAACGACAAAATCCTTATATGATTATGAGCCAATAAAGATTGAACTGATAGAAATGAAACAGAATTAGTTTGGGATTCTTAAAAATAATAAATAATTCGCCTAAACATCGTTCTGAACAACAGCCATTTTGTATTTCCCAAAACATTTTTTTTTTAAGGCAATGGTCTGAAATGGATCCTACATCTGCCCTTATAATTTATAAGTATTAATAATACAAGAACATAAATTGCTATATGCATGTTTTCTCAGCAAAAATTCAAAGAAAAAATTTGCACCGGATGCAACAAGTCACTATTTTAATTTTTTTATTAAATAAAAATCGTTGCTCAATTCTTTTCGGTTAACAAATATAGATGTAATATTTTCGTTTAATTTTGTCATATACTTCACCTCTCGGAATTAGCAAAACTGTTCATTTCTTTCCAATAAAAAATGGACTCAATAGTTTAGATTAAAAATTTCATACGCAACGCTATCGTAATTTCAAATATATGTATGCAGCTTCGTTTATAAAAGTTTTCTAATTTGATATGTTTGCTTTATTTTTAAATCGACAATTCCTTAGTGCAGCCAATTATATTCGGAACACTCTCTGTATTTTAAATATCTTACCAGATTATTGCCAGAACTATTTTTGATAAATATTTAAAAGTGATTATTACTATATCTTTTCAATATTTTGATTTAGCAGTAAACCTTTACCTATATTATTTTATGAGTTTAAAAATTTTTCAATTTTCTATGTTTACTTTTCACGTTTTAAATGTGTCGACTTATGAGAATCTTAATCGCCTTTAAAATATCTCTTGTAACTAATTCGATGAGCTGCAATGAAATTTCATAAGATTCACCAAGTAAACTCGAGTTTTTTTCAGATTCCAAAGGTTGTCGATTTTTTAAGATATTCCTATCATTTGTTTGTTGTTAAAAATTGAAGAAAAATGCTGAGAAATTACTTTAACTTTTTTAAACGGTGAAGCAACTGTTAATATTTGGCATAACGTTTAAAAATATAACGTAACATTCAGAAAAAAATATTCTGAGGCAAGTTCAAATTCAGTAGAATATGTGAGATCACTGTTTCTATTCACTTCCTGCATTGTGACAAAATACGGCATATTAGGGATAAGGAATTAGGAAAAATTATACTAGAACACATTATGTTACTAAGTATGACTTTATTTCTTTGGTAAACTCATTGGCATTATATGCGATACGCTAATTTTGTACTGTACAACAAACAAAGAAACTCAATTGGCACCTCTTCAATTTTCCTTAATACGTCTATTTCCTAGCCGATTTTTAAATCGATATTTACATAACTAAGTTTTAAAATTATTAACGTATAATATGGCAACAACAAAATAATGAAAAATAACTCATTGACATCAAATAACAATTAAAAGTAAATACTGTAACGAAGTATGTGAATACTACAAATTTCTTACACTACTGGTAAAACTAAACGTAAAGTCACTGAATGAGTGGAGAATTATTAGAACGCAACAAACAGTGTGAAGTGAAGTTTCACGGCATTCAATTTCAGTATTATGGCTATCAAATTCTCCCATTTTATAAGAGAAATAAATAAAGCAAATTTAATTAATTCCAGGCATTTTCTGTTGTTTCTATCTTGAACACAATATAACACAGTATACAGAGCGACTGACATAATGGACAAAGCTAAGATATGAAGCCTTTAACAAAACTATAACCCACGTAATTTGGGTAAACTTTGATGCTCAAAAGTAGTATTTAAAACTCTTTACTGATGTAGGTATAAATCAACCAAAAAGTGACGAAGATTGCTAACAGACTTTCTTAGAACCGCAGACTTCTAAAAGTTATATTGCACATCTATAGAGCAAGTAGTCTTATATTATCATTTTCATCAGATTTATAATATCATTAGATATTGAGCATTATTTACAAACAATGTTAACGTATACAGTATATTTACAAATTTATTTTCAATATTTTTCCTATCGGTAATTGCTCATTTTTGCCAAGCCGAATGATGAAAAAATAGCTTAGGATTCATTAAAGCTTATAGGCTTTTGTCATTTCAACAGCTCTACCTAGATGCTAACAACAAAAATGAGCATTTCAACTGCTAGTGGCTAAATCCCTAAATGAAGATCATCATCGTTCAGGTCCATAAAAAAATATGTTCTGACTGACCATAACCACTAACGCATCATGGTATATATGTAATTATTAATCGCCTAAACAGACAAAAACAATACTTTTTCCTTGAGTATAATGGAAGTGAATAATACTGTTATTTTCGCAACTGATACATATATTCTAAATGGCTTTCAAAATCGAGCTTTTGGATAAAATTGCGAAATGATGAAACGACGATTATAACATCAACAAATTATCTAAGCTGTTTCCCTTTAAATAAAAAAAAATATTGTTTTTGGTTCCACTATCGAACTTACAATATACATAGTGAACATCACAGTCAAGTGATTATCTACAACTTTCAGCTGGGCGTCCCTAAAGACATTGGACCATTCTTCAGATGAGTCGCTCCTCCAAAGGCCTGATTGGGAAGAGGAGGTTGTCCTGATGAGGACATGTTGTTGTTCATGTCACCATTGGTTGGAGGTAAAGGAGGACGATGGCCGTTCATAAGATGGCCCGGCATTGGAGTCTGAAAACAACCGGAAAAAAATATAAGAGCAACAGTTGTCGGTATGGTAATTTGTTGAAACCATCAGATAAATAGAGCCGCTAAGGAAATAATTTTGTAATGCTCAGAATTTATTGAAAAAGTTTAGCCTCAACGGTTTTAAACACTCAAATTCATTTTAAACCAAAAGTTGTAATTGGTGCAAAATTATTCAAGGTTGTTTCTAAAAAACTAAATATTATCGTATTACCTCATATATATCATTATACCGGTAAATACTTATTTGAGGATTCCTATCAACAAATAATACGGCTGGAAAATATCGACTAGGCAAATTCGAGAATTTTTCCAAGAAATCTGAATGGTCCTTTGAGAAAATATAGTTAAACTCAAATGCCTTAAGGCAGCAACGATGAGGGAGCAAAAAATGATTCGTAGGGGAGAAGGGGATTAAAAATGTGAGTTCGTAATTGGATTGTACCCACTCGCAAATATTTAAGGGGTCGTAGTGACTATGAAAGCAACTGGAATTACATTCAGCCACAATTTTAAAGGGCCATATCCCTAGTTGCATATAAAGATCATCAAGAGATAGAATAGATTACTGTTTTCCATCGAGTTGGCCAAACTTTCATTAATAATTCTGAGTATCACTTTGATAATTAAGTTTGAGCTGCAATTAATTTTAAGTGAATTATTTTGTGCAACTTTACCTAGATAAAATAGAACACAGAGCTACTTATAAAAGTAGTTTCTTAAAATGTAAGCATTCCTTGATAAAATCTCGTTACTTAGTGCTAAAACAAATAATTTCCCGAGAAATAAGATGGAAGTAGTTTGTGCGATCGATGTCTATACAATATGTATGAGCGAGTGGAAACAGCAAATGCGAAATGCGACTTTTTCATCTTTGATGGCGCGAGTGCTGTTCGTCTCCGCAATACTTAAGTAGAATTAAGACTAACGTTCATGTTTTTATTGAATTTCAATTGGTAAATAGAACTAGAAGATGTTTGCTGATAATCGGCGTGATTCTCTCCATGCAGAAATTAAGCAAATGTCCCTAAGTTGTTTAGTGATATCTGAAATTTTATTGTTTTTTACTAAAGCGAAAAATTCTGCTTCAAGTCAAACTGAGACTATAGGTTTAGCTAATTGTCACTTTCATGCCCTAAATAATATAATTAGCTTGTTAAGCTACTAGAAAGTGTCAAAAATTTGTAAGGGTTCAACATGATGCAAATTGATGATTTCAGTGCTTAAATAGTGAAACTCTAAAAGTCTAGTGCTTTGCGCTCTTACAGTTCCAGCAGCAATAACACCTTTTTTTGCAAGTAAGTTAGGCGTGCTTACAGAAACTTCAACAGGTTATTCAGTTTCAAAACTCCTAAACTGCGACAACAATCTTTAAGCATTATTGTGCTGAATTTAAAGCGTGAACAAAATGTTCCTAATAAGCAGGCATCTACAATTGTTTAAAATAACATCTTTTACAAGCAAATCTTTCAATTATTTCAAGTGCTATAATACCGCCATAGTTACATTTTGATTTTCTCTCCGGTTAAGAATATCTTGAAAATAACTAATCAAAAAAAGGGATTTGGGTGTTTTTTTTGCAAATAAATATTAGTTCTAATTTGAAAATACTTAAAAAATCAATTTTTTTCTATGCTGGTTTTTAAATCCTTTTTTGACGACAGTAAAAAAATTTACGAAACCTTTAATTCATGTTTTATATGCCCTTGTTTAATATAGGACACATCCGTTTGGTTGCATTTGTTGAAAACGTATACCGAATGAAAATATACATCTAATTTTAATGAATAGAAGGTTTATTGTTTGTCTATTTGATTACTATCTTAACGTCGCAACTTATTTACTTTCAGAAATGTTTAAACAATTTTATGACAAATATTACAAACTCAGTTATTACAGCAATAAATCTTAAAACAACTTTTCATTCTAAAATGGTCTTTACATAAATGTGGAACAGCCGATACGAGATTTCTTCCGATTATAGTAAACTAAACTGTAAGTTTGAATTTAGAGACACTAAGACTTTTAAGCCATGTAGAAAAATATTTTCTTGTGAGGCAATGAAAGGCCGCAATAAGCAAGGAACACATTTTGCATTTTCAACACATTTCGCTTTATCAACACATTTTCTGATAAATAATGTTTGTAAAAGTGTGAAATATAACAAAAGTAAAGTTACGTACTTACCGGCGGTATGGATGTCTGCCTCTTCAAATGTGATAAAGGAGGAGGATTGTACGCCATGTTTGCAAATACTAGTCTTTCCTCATAGTCGTATTCACATAAGATTTTGTTCTCGCACAGGTAGAATCTATCGCCTACGCAAAACCTGTAACAAAACCAACTGTAAGTGATTGGCTGTTTTTGCTGCATCAATATAATTTCACTCAGCTACTTCTGCTTAGGGCAATAAGTCCTATAACATGCATGGTGTCTTTGAATCACCAAAAAATCCAGGTATTTTCAAAATATGTACAGTGGTTAGTTAAAATTATGCATTTTTTTAATTTAAAAAGTTTAAAGTTTCAAGCTATCCCTAAAAGAAAATGTTGAAGTTAATGCCAATACTGAATGGGGTGAAATTTCTGTTTGCCCAATTATCCTTATAGATCCAGTTTAAGATAAAATGTTAAACTAATCTTGCAGCATCTAAAAATTTCAATCTCGTCCAAATAGTTCGAATGACACATAAATTTGAAGGTCGACTAGACAGGATCTGAAAATTTAATTCCGTGTCCGTCTGAAGAAAGAGAGAGGCAATATATGAGTGCATAGCTTCGCTCACCTTTCGAGATCGCTATATTTGAAATAAAGCAGGAAAATCACAAGCGGGACGTCGCAGGACAATCAGGAAATGGGTACGTTGAGACCGTTGGAGAATAGGCCACATGTATATATCTATCACAATTCAAATAGTCCGCGATGTCGAGGCCCGGGAATGATTTCCCCAATGGCTTATAAAGTCCTTTAAAAGACAACACACGATTGAGACGAGCAGGTCTCTTTCCTTTTACAGGGTTTCCGAATGTAGATTTCAGAAAGTAGATGAGCCATTTATAGTTATGAAATAATTCAGACATCACATAATTGTATCATGCGTGTTTTCTCTATGTTCAAATGTATTTCTTCAAGTTATGTTTTGCATGCATTTTTTKAATACTCTTCATCTACTTAATGCATCTCATGTTTTATTAGCTGCAATATTTAGCAACATGCTGCTACTTAAGCCCTATTAGATGAGCCCATACTTGGGAAATATTTGCCTTTCGTCCAAATTTTCTTTACCCCAATGTTGCGTTTTCTTTGGTAGGCTGTATAGAAGAACATTTTGCCAGAATATTTCAAATAACTCTCAACTCTTACGCAAAAAAGCTGCAAATAAAATGAATGTGAAATGAGAGCAATTTTTTTCAATTCTTCAGGTTTAATGCAATCAAAAACAAATATTTAAAAAACATTTACAGTAAACAACTGGGAAAAAAATTAAAATGTCAACTATTGGAGAAAACAAGGCAGTTACGTAGTTGAAAATAATATAGAAAGCAAGATGAATCAATTCAAAAAACAAGGCTTAAAACAGGAATTAGACTTGCAAAAGTTTCACCGAGACTGACAAAGTTAAGGGAAAGAAATGCTATTGCACCATTAAAATTCATCTTGTACGTTTGCACTATTTTGAACACTGGTCAAGCAAATATATCTTGCTTACGGTCCCTTTTTACTTCTATAAGCGATGAATAATTTAAGGCTTGAAAACAATATTACAAAACATGCAAGAAACACTGATAATACAAGCAGAAGAAGTCTAATAAAAATAATGTTTTGGATAAATGCCCATTGTCGTTCACAATTCAGTTATTTATTTTTAAACAAAAATATTAACATTCTTCTTGTCATCGAATCAGAATTATTCGAGTTTGTTATTAATTTACAAACATGTTTTCATTTTTGATTCGCTTAACTGCAAATAACGCTTGAATTTTGCTTCCTCAATTTCATGATGTTCCCTTGTCCTTTAGATTTTGATTCCAACTAAAAATGTTCCCTTGTTTCAAGCTATCCGAACGACATTAAGGTAAATTTGAGGAAAACAACAGTGAGCTAGAAAAGTCACGGAATTTAGGTTTGCAGGTTTACTGATGAATACAAATTTGGTACTAATAATAGATGACTTTAGTCCTTAAAATCAATGGGTCAAGCAATGTGCCTTATCACTTATCATTTTAACATTTTACACGACGAAGAGTTATTAAGATAAAGTGGGCAGCTATTTTTAATGGGGTACCTGGTACATTTTGAGCTAATTTTAGCCAAAGACGTTTACACTGGACTGTTGCTAAAATATATAATTTAACTGTAGCCGACACTGTTTATTTAATTAAATTTTTTCGGAATAACTTGAGGAATAAATAGTTTCATCACATTAGTATTTAATTGGTTAGGAAGAAATTGCGATTAAATTTAGGGCATTTTCTCTTAGTCCCTAAATGTTGTCCCTTTCCATATTGCTTGTGCAGTCTATTTGAACCAACATTTCTATGTCCTAACGGATTAATAGTTTAAGTTTACATTTACTTCAAACATTTGTATATTATTATTACACAGGGTGGTCCTCAACTGATGTGACAGAAATTTGGTATTTCAAATCAATTGGAGCTTGTAATTAAAGTGATGATCGACTTTAAATGGCGATTAAAAAGGAAAATAAATTAGCGATCCCAAGCTTCTTTATAAAACGAGAATGGATAGAATGCGAGACATAAAACACGAAATTGCCTTTCATAGTCCATATAACAGGGCACAATTGGACAATCGGATAGTTCCATGCGCCGAATTGCCAGCAAACGTTATCAATTTACAGAGGTCTCTTTCAATTACGTTAAAAATGACGAAACATTGTGGCCCATTAAATCTGCAGAATACAGATATAACTATAATAGTCCAAGCGAACAATGGTCTCGAATAACGCTTCCATATATTTTCGTTTATTAGCCCCGATTTCCACCTAACTGGCTTTCGTAATGTCAAAATCTGAACATCGCGATAAAGGGACCATTGTTTAGTTGATTGTCAAATTTATGTTTGTACAAATTAAATCTGCACACAGCAGCAGCTATCTGGCGGTAACAAAAGTTGACAATCAGTCGTAATTTGGGGTTGTATTATTGTTAAGCGCCCGGTGAAAATATTTTGCCGAGATAACTGGAATTCGCCAGAGAACAAAGTGTGCCATAGGTAGTTAATTAATTTGCATTCTACATTATACATATAAAATATACTTTAAAATGTCGCATGGCAAACGATTAAAAAGTCGCGTTTCTCTAGCATCCGCTAATCACATGAGCAACCAAAAAAAGGTCAGAAAGCACCTTGATTTGTGGCATGCCAAAATACGTTCTTGGATCACTTTGCTTACGAAAAAAATACGCTTTTAAAAAATATTTTAAAACGTATACTAATAAAGTTTGATTTGGAAAGTGTACCACCATGAACTTAAATTGACGAATCCATTGAACTTCTCAACTGGATTACCAAAATTACAAACGAAATAAAGCAGAAAGTTTGATAACAATATATTAATGACTCATTGACAAATGTACAAATTCTAAAATCAATCAATCGTTTCAAATTAATAACGAGAGAAAACCAAATAAACAACAAATAACAAAATTCTCCTTTAATTTAGTTTTAGATAAGTTCTATATTGTTGAGGCGGATTCATTTTTTTACAAACTTCTTTTTGGGTATTTTGTCTAAAAAATTTTTGTCTTTAAAAAATACAGAATTTCCTCACGTCTTTTATTACAGATTGATAAATAGTGCTCCCATTTCGCAATAAGAACGAATTATTTATCGACAAGTAATCAAGAAC